ATCATTCCTCTGACACCTGCAGGAGGATCATTACCACTGAGAAGCTGCGATCATGATTTGTCACTTACATATTCTGCGGGGAAAAAGAAAAAAAATGTTGAGAACATATGGACATTTCATGAGCAAATCTAGATAAATAATTGTATCATAGACATCCAGCTCCACTTTCATGCAATGTGAGGAAGTGGTATTGCATACATCTTAGATAATCTATGCTATAGAAGAATATCATGTCTAATAGCCATGTCGATGTATAATAAGGCTTTGATTGCAGCACTTATTATTCTTTCTGTGTGAGTCCGTGCACTCAGAGTAAGTGATTTCTCAGAGACCGCACTCTTTTTCATCAGTGAGCTGTTTGATGAAGAACTGTCATGTTACAGAGGCAGGTTTCTTTCTACCCACATCTGTTGAGTCAACAGTGTAGGGAGCTCCAGTCTGCAGTGCACGCTTTCATCCACACACTTCTGGTCTCACTGAGGCATCACAGCATATCGTTTTTGATAGGTTGCCATTGGTGTTAAGCTCCTCGTCTCCTGTTTAATGACTGCAGGAGGAGAATTTTCTGCTGAAACGGCTGCTTTATTCAGAAGAGCAAGAGAAATGCAAATGTTATGTGACGAACCCCCAGAGAATTATCAGTAGCGCCACAGTTCCCTTCAGCTCTATGCAAAGCTATTGCTAGCAGCTTTTGCACAGATGTAGATTCAGCTCTGTGATGTTCCCTCTCCCGTCTCTTTTATACAGAACGGCAAGATGGAATAACATTGCAACTGTCCCACCTTGAGCTTTTCAGCTTGTTATATTGCGTTTACTGATGCGGTTCACTTTCAATGCTCAGTACCATTATTAAACACAGCTTGTTGCAGAAAAAAGCTCTAAAAACAGCAGCTAAAGGTCCAGATGTTTTCCCCTGGAGTTGATCAAAAGCTAAACTAAAAGACCTACAGTACATGCATCAGGTGGACAGAATCTCAATGCTAGTGTCTCTGGGTGTGCGAGTAGTGTTTTCTAATATGCTTGTTGATATAAGAGGATACTATGTCAATTTTGTGTTAATAGCTTGTCCCCACAAATGGACAAAACAAGTCAGTTAATGCAACTTTCATAATTAATATGCTTAATGTTCAATTTAATGTTTATGCGGGTAATAAAGTGAACTACTTGGGGCACATTTTTGAGCATTTTTCCTGAAAACAAAATAAGTACTTTGTGGTGTAATTCCACACTAGAGGACAACAAAACTGCATTTACATAAGTCTCATAACCTCTTTTACAAAACATAAAAATAAAATGAATATTCTCTCTCTTTGTACGACCAGATAGAATAATTAACATTTGACAGTGTCTAAATTAATAATACTAGTTGTTGAAAGACATTTAAGGTATTTTTCATGATTTATTATTTATGTATTTATTTATTCATTTATTCGTTCAGTCATATTTTTGTGCTTTAAAGTAACGTTGTTGGTTTTTAACCCTCTGCATGCTGCATTTTTATAACTTTTAACTTCTTATATTGTTGATTGTGTTTATGAATTGACATGCTAATAGAGAGTGTGTGCTATTCCCCTTTGGGATTCATAAAATGAAGTGTCCTCTCTCGAAACATAAAACAAATGGGTACTGTTACAGTATCGGAGACTATACCTTCAAGCCTATCCGAACAGTCGAGCTTAAATATTTGTAAATGCATGAAAATCTATTTTCAATTTCAAGCATCATTTAAACAGCATCAACAAATCAGATATCTTATAGACGTACCTCAAGTTGTTAATTTGTACCATTTTGTTATTGTATTTAGAATATTACAATAATCTATTATAATAACCCGGTTTTATTAAAATGTCATGTATCTAAAGATAAATGTGTAAAACCTGTGTAACATGTTGTCAATATGTTTGCTACCGTGCTGATCTTAAAGAAGATGAAACAAAAATAGACTTTAGATTGAAGCCTAAACTACTTTTCCTCTTTCCCAAGAGTTTCGTCTCTTTCAGCTTTGTGTCTCAAATGCTTTTTTATCAAGTGAAAAAAAACAAAAACATAGATTTCTTTGGCAGCCAGAGCTCTGTTCCACTGTCTGGATGTAATGAGCTGATCCTGCATCGCTAACCAAATATCCTCCATTTATTGTGGTTAGGCGGCTGAATTTGCTTGTCAATGGATGCAACTTCAACAAATCCTAACAACTAACGAGCCTGTAAAGTGAGCGGGGGAAGTGGACACGGGAACACATTTGATGCTTCTGCTGTGAATTTCTGGTTTTGAAATAATATCATCAGATCAGATTTCAAAAAGTCCCAAACACTGTTAAATATTTCTGCCTAATGGCCTCCAATCCTCGGAGAGCTGGTTTAAAGAGCTTCTCCTGGGTTTGCTGTGTGTGTGTGTGTGTGTGTGTGTGTGTGTGTGTGTGTGTGTGTGTGTGTGTGTGTGTGTGTGTGTGTGTGTGTGTGTGTGTGTGTGTGTGAGACTGAGGCAACAATATTGTTTGAGGTTCATGAGGTTCATCGTAAAATAATCATCCATAATTCCAGATAGGAATCATAGGAAAATATACTGTAACTCCAGAACTTATCTTATCACATATCGTTTTCTTTTGTATGAAGGTAATCCAGTGTTATCCATGAGTACACTGCAAACAGGAAGAGCTGTAAACATATTCAGAATACTTTTAATTACAGCCATTGGCAACAAGTATAGGCTAACAAAACAATGGTTTACTTGCTTTTAACAGCCCTGAAGCATTATGTGAACAATATATATTTCTATATGGACTTGTTCCATAATGCCAAATATTATTGGATCAAATGTGAGACTGTGTAAAACTGAAGTTTCAAGAGTGATTAGTTAAGGGGGAAAAAAGGGAACCATTTATTTAATGAAAGAATCCTACTTTATTTTCTTATTATTTATATTTGTATTTCCAAATGCAACTATCCAATTGTATTTTATAATCCAAAGATATTTTTTTTTGTCTTACTATTTTCATCGTGGTATTGTGTTTTTTTGACTCTATGGAAATGATCTCAATGATCTCTCGAAAATATTTTAAGGTTAAATTAATGATTTATATTTTTGTTTTTTTATATATACCTCGTTTGAATAAAAAAACATGAATTAACTTGACAAATAATTTACACCATGTCTGGGAATTATTATGATATCCTTTTTATTTAGAAACAATAACAAACACCCACCTCATGATATAACATGTGTCTCAGGGTTTTCTGCCAGGTGTTTGTTTAAAAATGACTCAATCACTAAAAGCCAGGTCTGTTAATAAATAAATATGAACAAACATGAGTTGCTTTAACTATATTTTGCTGTAAGTATATGAGATAAGTCATGTTGCAGTTTTCTGAAAGCTGAGAGACATTCACTATCTAGTTACAGACCAACTGTAAATAGGTTCAAACTACATATGAATTCAGTCTGTTCCTGGGGAAACATTCCTGAGCAAAATGTAAAAACTAAGGCCCTACCTTTCAGCTTACATGCTCACCATAACAACCTGGCCTGTAGTTTTGATGTGAGGCACGGCGAGATTATTTATACAGCACATTTCAGCAACAAGGCAATTTAAAGTGCTTTGCATAAAACATCAAAAGCATTGAGACAAGTGCAAGACAAGTGCAAACGAAACGCACCACTTAAGGACATTTGAATACAAATAAAAACAGTCAGTGCCAAGAGAATAGAAAATTAAAGCATAACTGCAAGCTAAAACAGGAGGTTAGAAATAGTTCCTGTTAAATTTGATGTCTGCTTTTTTGTTTTCCCGGACCTGGGAGATCCCCTGATATTTAACACAAATATAAATAAGGTTACATCACTTAGACTGACTGTGCCACAGGCCTCAACAGAGGTCAAATACTGTAGAACAACACTAGACATACAAAACAGGAAGACGTAGGATTATTATTATAATTACTGATATGACAAGTAGTAATAGTGTGCATTGGAAATACAACACCATATCCTCTTAATATCTTAACTAAAATAAGTGCTGCTCTTTGGATGATGTTTTTGTTTGATTTTTACGACCATTCATAATTACAGCATTGACATTAACATGTACACTATTTATTTAAACGTAGTAAACTCCAAAGGATGATAACTCTGACATTAATCTACCAAAGCAAAGGTAATCTATTCCTGCTACCACCAACGGATGCTATGTTTGTGTAGCATGAATGAAGTGAAACATTTTAGTTTTATTGAGACGCTTTGGAAAATAGTTTTAGGTATGTTTTTCATATTAGCAGTAAGACTGTATTTATCAGATTTTATGTTTTATTAATTCTGTTAAATTGGTACTACTGTGTATATTAAACATGGCTGCCACAATAAAAACTTGACAAATGGGAAATATGACTGGGGAGTAGGGATGGGACCTCAAGTATTTAATCACAGATGGCAATAAAAACACAAAACAAAAACAATAAGTCGATTGAGTTGGTTTCTATAATCAGAACAAATTGGAATGTCCTCATCAGTGACTATTAAGAAATGTGTCTAGCGTGCTATAACGGAGCAATGAAACATAGAGACTCATTTGAACAAACAATAATTATCATGTAAGAAAGAATAAACTCACACAATAGCCGCCAGTTTATTTAATATATTTATTTATCCATCATTCATTCATACAAGATGGGCTTCTGATTTATGATTACCTTATTACCTCATTATTATTAAGATTTCTTGACTAGACAAATGTTCAGATACAAAATATGCCTTTCTATATGTCATTAAAAACACTTGTTTCTTGACTCAGTGTGAGGTGAAGTAGATCCAGTTTGTTTGAGTGCCTTTTTATTCAAAATAATATTGTCAAAAGAAATTATTTTCCCAGGATAACCAAACATTCAATGTTAATATCATCCCCAGCCTACTGGGGAGATGAACTCAGGATGTATTTATTTTTATCATTATATCTGTTGCACACTGTGGTGAAAAGTGTTTCATCATCTCATCTCTCGCTGTCTCTGCAGATGTGATCCACACAGTGGGGCCGGTCGCTCAGGGAGGAGTGGGAGACGAGGAGAAGAAAGCGTTGAGGTCGTGCTACAAGAACAGCCTGAACGCAGCCGCCAAAAACAACGCACGCTCTGTGGTGAGGACGGGAGGGGGGGGATGTTTGCTAGGAAGAAACAGGAAGTATGAGAGGAAAAATACAGAGATTCAGAATTGTTTGTTGAGAAAAAGGTGTGCAGAAACCAGATTTAAACAAAGATGTTAAAGGGAGAAAAGCACTTAGTATTGGAACCAAAAAAATGTATGAAGGATAAAAAGAAAGGACTCAGTCATGACTGTGTATAAAATATTTTACCTTAGCTGAAAACATAACAAGAAGTAACACATTAAGAGATGTTTTCAAAGGAAACTACATTCCAAGCTGAGAGGGAAACAGGAGCTGCAGGTAGGTAGTTGAGTTGAAAGAAGATTTTATGAAAGACTCCAGGCGGGAGATTTTCACTAGGTGTTAAAGTCAAAGAAAAACACTAAAGCAACACAAAAGTAAAGTCAGTCATTTTCGTAAGCAAGTACAATTTTTTGTATTTATTGTTTGGTATTAGATCAAATACCTTTCCTAAATGTTCATTTATATTACTGTGTTTATGTAGAGGGGCTATCATAATGTTTTGATCTGGAAAAAGATTATATAAAGTACGGTAAACAAAATGTTGGTGAAGCCAAAGATCACAAGTTTGCCACACAGCTTTTTATTGACGCTGATTAAATCTCCCCTTCCTCTTGAGTACAACCTTTCTTCGACTTTCGTGTTTTTTTACATGAAACCCCTAAAGCTTTTCTTATAAATTCACTTCCATTGACTTTTATTTTTACCTCTCGCCTTGAGGACCCTGTGTGTCGTGTCTGCTCTCTCCCCGAGTTGCCAACTCCACAATCTGGTCAATGAAGAGATCTGGAGACACAGAGAGCTTCCAAGCATCTGCTCGTAGCGCCGCATTTGACAGCAGGTTGAGAATCTGCCAGATTTCATTTACTTTGAAGTTTACTGGCTGCTTTCCTCAGCTCAGAGACTCTGATGCCATGAACCTGCCTGACAATGGCCGAAAGTTAAAATGTCAAAGATTTTTATATAAAAAGTCCTTGAAACTTGACATTTTTCATCAATAGGGATTCAATGTATTTACATCCAGTAATTATCTCGTTACAGCGCTTTTCATTGTTATTAGCGTAGTTCTCCTTTCCTGAGCAGGTTTTAAACGGCCCACTGACTCACGAGGGATTTGCAGAGGGAAGGATGCATGTACTTAAATGTTACGGTTTGTAATTTTATCTAATGGATAGAAGGCTCCTCATTTACCGTTTGCCCTTCTGCTGCCTGTCTGAGTTAAATCACTGCCAATGTAAATACAACTTTTAGTGCCTCAGCTTTTATAATAAATCAATTCAATATAAGTGATGGGGGAAAAAATCCACAGTCCGTTTTGTGTAAGCTGGTAGTCTATGCGAGGTGTGGCCAAACTATGAGTCAGTAAAAAAAATGTGCAGACAGATGGTACGGTCAGACAATAAGTAAACAGAGTCCTGTGATTGTAGTTACATGTTAGCCTATTAAAAACTGGCCACATAATAATGTATTTATTGTGTCAAGTTGCACGTGCCCCCTGCCTGGTGAGGCTTTATAAGATGGTTTGGCTGAATCTAATATAAGTTTTCATGAATTAAAACACATCTTATTGAAGTAAGTTGTAATGTATAGTCTTTCAGTACCAAATAAGCTTGTTGTAGGTATATTAACTATTTTTTCTTGCTGAGATGTGTTTGATGGTTAGTAAAAAAATAAAAGACGACTAAACTGCACCTTAGGGGTTTGAAATAGCTGTAAGAATATTTGTATTATCGCCAGAAATGGCAATTAGCGTGAGCAGCAGTGCTTTCAAAACACTTATTGACATTGGAGGATTATTTTCAACATTGTAATTTTGGGCACAAGATAAGATATGCCTTTATTTTACAGCGAGACAAAAGAGGCAGAGAGAGATGCAACAGAATAAACAACATCAACAAAAAGAAAAGATTCTTCTTTGTGGTTCAAGGTTGGAGTGTTAATGTACTTGAGAGGACAAAAAGCTTTAAAAGCACAGCAACCGCTGAAACACAAGTAGCTTTTATAGTGGAATAGTCATTAAGTTGTTTGTTGAAGAGCTGCAGGTGAGAGGCTCTTACCGGCATTTTTAGGAACCAGCACCTCTCTAACACATTGTCAGTCAGATGCAACATCACATCAAATAAACACCTTTAGACTGTCCTGCTGTATGGTTTGATAAATGTTGCTCAGAAGGTGAGAAAAAAGTCCAATTATTTACTGTCTTTATGTGACACAGTTATTATGTCCAGCTCTTTAAATGTGTCATTTTGAATGTAACTCTGTGGCCTGCACTGCTAAACCGCACCTTCGGTCACTAAAAGACACCAATGGTGATCCAAATCAGCCTGTACTGAACTGTTATAAGATAATTACTCTAGTAATATAATAATGCCTGGTTGATTGCTGGTGAAGAAAGTCCTTTAACATCAGGCCTCCTTAACAAAAGGATGATAAGAAGTGTGTGTGTGTGTGTGTGTGTGTGTGTGTGTGTGTGTGTGTGTGTGTGTGTGTGTGTGTGTGTGTGTGTGTGTGTGTGTGTGTGTGTGTGTGTGTGTGTGTGTGTGTGTGTGTGTGTGTGTGTGTGTGTGTGTGTGAAAGAGAGTGATAATAACGCTGGTTGTTATGTGATCAGCAACAGACTGTAACTACTTTGTTTCTCCTCTTCTCTCTGCAGGCGTTCCCCTGCATCTCCACAGGAGTCTACGGTCAGTGTCTGTGTTGATATGTGTGTCTCCTCCTCATAGTTAATCAGAATATTTGCAACAGTTGTGCATGTTGCAATAAAAGCAAGACATTTGGCACATGTAGGTTTATATGTATAAATATTGGGATGCTGCAGGTTTGGTGGCCATTTTCAAAAAAGGATCAGGGTTGGAAATCAGCAACAGCCCCGAGCAAAATGCTGGTAATATAAGCTTCATTCACTGGCAGAACAAAACCGTAAGGTACTTGTGATGGAAACTTCTGAAGCAATGGAGACAGGACTCAAAGAGACAAGAGGAGAGCAGGAACTTTGATGCCAAACACTGATGGTTTATTTGGAGCTTCGGCCGGAGAATTCACAAGACATGTGCTGTGCCACGAGTTGACACAGCGGTTGCCAAACCAATTCTGAAGATCTCTACCCCAGACCCATGCATTTAGCTAGTTCAGAGAGAATAATCAACATTGTGCATAACAAGATAAAACCATAACACCTCTATCAGCTGATGCCAACAGGCAGGAATAGGAAGGCAAAACACTGAGAGGGCAGCTACTGAACTGAACGGGCCGAGGAAAGTATTTCCCCAATAGTACTGAGTGGCTGATGGAGGTTATAGAGAGTGGAATGTGGACAAGTTCATCTCTAACAGTGATCTGGATGAAGTCGGCTCTATAAAAAACTTCTCTGATGGCCACAGGAGACTCTGACTTGGCTGAAGAAAAATCTTCCAAGCAAGTCAGGAGGTCACAATTGATAACATATTTCTCTCTTTGGTTTGGCATATATCATTGCTTATTAGCGATACATTCCAAAGTTAGGTATCGCTTCAACTTTTCTACTTCTCTGGGTGTTATTCTGGGATGAAGGCACGGGGTTGAAGTTTGACCATGAACTGAACATTATCTTTTTATTTAGTTTTCATAATTTTTTGTAAAATGTTTTAGAAAGCACCCATTGAGAAATAAAGAGACAAAGAAATCAGCTTGAACACACCTCGGCCATCATCCATACATCAGTTTTAATTCAGACATATTAAGCGACTGTTTGCCCTCAGGGACCAAATATCCAGCGCTCCAATATGTATAATAATAATAATAATAATAAATGGGATTTATATAGCGCTTTTCTAGACCCAAAGACGCTTTACATTATGAGTCAGGTCGACAAACAAAACAAGAACAAAAACAAAAACAAAAACCAAACAAAAACAGAAAAGCAGTCAGGAGGATGTTGGTTCAGAGGGGGGAGGGGCGGGTTTAAGGATAAGCAGAGTTGAAGAGGTGGGTTTTGAGACGGGACTGGAACAGGGTGAGGGAATCAGACTCACGGAGGTCTTGGGGGAGGGAGTTCCAGAGCTTCGGGGCTGCCACAGAGAAGGCTCTGTCCCCGAAGCTCCGGAGTTTGGGATTGAGAGCAAACCGGCTGAGGTGGATCTGAGGGACTGGGGTGGTTGGTAGAGGATGAGGAGGTCAGTGAGGTAGGGGGGGGCCAGATGGTGGAGGGCTTTATAGGTGAGGACCAGGAGTTTGTAGTGAATGCGGTGTGAGACGGGAAGCCAGTGGAGTTCTTTGAGGACCGGGGTGATGTGATGCCATGATTTGGTGTGGGTGAGGAGTCTGGCGGCTGCGTTCTGGACACGCTGGAGTCTGTTGAGGGATGTTGTGCTGATGCCGAAGAGGAGTGAGTTGCAATAGTCAAGGCGGGAGGAGATGAAGGCGTGAATGAGTCGCTCAGCTGCGGGGCGGGTGAGAGAGGGACGGAGTTTGGCGATATTGCGGAGGTGGAAAAATGAGGTTTTTACAACTTGGCGGATGTGGGGGTCGAGGGAGAGGGTGGGGTCGAATATCACGCCAAGGTTGCGTGCCTGGGTGGAGGGGGAAACAGGGGTGCCATCGATGGTGAGTGTCAGGTTGGGGGTTTTGCTGAGGGTGGATTTGGAGCCGATGAGGAGGAGTTCAGTTTTATTGCTGTTGAGTTTGAGGAAGTTGTGTTGCATCCAGGATTTTATTGCAGTCAGACAGGATTCGATGTGTGTGAGAGGGGGGTTGTGGGGGGATTTGGTGCTGAGGTAGATCTGTGTGTCGTCAGCATAGCAGTGAAAGTCCAGGTTGTGATGGCGGAGAATCTGACCAAGGGGGAGGATGTAGATGATGAAGAGGAGGGGGCCGAGTACTGAACCTTGGGGAACACCTTGGGTGACTGAAGCTGTGGTAGAGGAGTGATTGTTGAGGGAGATGAAGTGGGATCTGTCGGAGAGGTAGGACTGGAGCCACCTGAGTGCAGTACCTTCGATACCGATATCCTATATCCTATACCTTTCTTTAGCAAAGACACCTACATTTGTGCCAATGTGTTGCTTTTACAGTACAGTAAAATGAACAATTGTTATGCTTAACTGTCCCAGGATCTAACCAGAACAAATGCATGACATTTTCTTCCCTTGTGTGTTTGTAATATCATCATTTTCACATTTTCTCATCAAATGTTTATTTGTTGCTCAGGGATTTACGCTCTTGGAGTCTGAGAGAAAAAAAGAAATCAATTTTCATTTTACAATAAATCTAATCCTGTGTTTGTATGCTGTGCACACCGGCTCTGCTTTCCATCAAATCCTTGTTTCCAGTATCAAACCTTCTCTGTAACCAGTTTGCTGAGCCACCCAGTGCCACTTGTCACATTATCTCCTGCAGGCCAGAGGTGGTTCCCAGATTAAGGCCCTGGATTAAGACCGGCAGATTAAAATGGATTAGGCCGGAGATTGTGTCAGATTGACTGTAATACCCCTTCGCACTGGCAGGAGAGAGAGATAGTGACGGTGCTTAAACACTCCCAGGGGAGGGTCTGAGTGTGAGGGCTGTTTGTCGACACTCCTCCCATGTTGCTGGAGAGAGGAAGAGGCCAGAGTTGCGCCTGTTTCTCACAGTCTCTCTGTTCAGATCATCATCTTTCTAAGAGTATTCTCTAAGTGTTGTCTCTCACCTGGGCTCACCTTTTAAGAGGAAGGTGAGACAAAATTGTCTACACTTGAGATGCATATTTTCATTATCTATTCATTTTCAGATTATTTTCTAAATTAAATATTAATTATTTGTCATTAGATATCAGCAAATATTGAGAAAACATCCATCCCAGTTTCTCAGAGTCCAAGGAGATGTCTTTGAATGTCTTGTTTTGTCAGTCCAAACCCTAAGGATATTTAAATGTTTTATGGTATAAGAAATCAAACAGGCTTATTGCATGAATACTATATCAAAATAATAGGCAAATTATTTTTGTCAATTGTTCCAGCTCCATTTAACGGCTTCTCGAATAACGTCACCAATGTAATCACAAGACATACAGTAGTCAACCCCAGAAAATACTGTCTCTTGAGGACAGTAACACGTGCGTTTTCCATCGCTATTTGACCACATTACAGAAAATATGGGAAGACCTTTGATTGGAATTTCATGACATATTACCATTTTTACAATTTTCTTAAGTACAGTGAGTGATATGTTCTTCTGCTACACCGGAGAAAGGTGTAATGGTAGACGTACAGGTTAGCACCCTGAGACATGTGCAAAAAGCTTTTTGTTGCCTAAACATAACCATAAAAACTTGAATAATTGTATTAATTATTTTCCAAGAGTGTATAATGTAGTAAACATTTTAGCAACATACATTTTTCAGTATGTCAAGTAAAATGAATTTAGATGGCATTACATGTATGTCATACTCAAACACATTTGATATTTGAAACTAAAGTATAAATGTCATTTTTTTTAATAAGGAATGTGAGGCAGGTGTCACAGTCTGCACACACCCACACATTTCTATATTGTAATTTAAAAGGCAAACTTTGCTATTTTTTACCGTGCGCCCTCATGTATTTCCCTCTTCACATATTGAACACTCTCTCCTCATGTATAGAATAATTACTGTATAATCCCACAGTATGTGTTTGTTTCTGGCTGAGCAGTTTGGCCAGATGATGATTTTTTTAGTGCCTTTGTGTTGTGTTTCCAGCAGTGGGGATCACTTCCCAGCTCTGAAAGGTCTCGGTCGCTCAATGAATATTGAAGAAGCACTGTAGTCTTTCTCCATCTGTCTCCTCCTAACCCACAAGTGTGTTATGATCCCACATCGCAGGAATAGGGGAATTTGGATGAGGGCAAGTGAGAAAATACCAAGCATAGAACAACAGAAATCTGAAAAAAAAAACTGTGTAGACAACAACCTAACGCAAACACACAGATCTGCACCTGTTCTTGTAAATTGTTTGTATATTTGTGTTTTTTTTGTAGGATATCCACCTGAGCAGGCTGTGCACGAAGCGTTAGCAACTGTGAGGGAGTATCTGGATGAACATCACGACAAGGTGTGTGTGTGTGTGTGTGTGTGTGTGTGTGTGTGTGTGTGTGTGTGTGTGTGTGTGTGTGTGTGTGTGTGTCTTTCTCTTTGTGTCTGCATGAGTGGCAATGTTTCCCTACCATTTCCTCAAGGTATTATTCCTTTCACAGCTGTTGTGTTTGTTTTCTGGTGGGAGCCAAGAGAAAGGTGCTTTGAGAGAGCACTTGCACGCACGCACACAGTGACACACACACACACACACACATACATTTGAATACACACTCCTATGTTCTACCTCTCATGCTCATGGCCAAGTCTGCGTTTTAATTGGCTCCTTGCGGGACTAAACCCTATCCACACACAAACACACACACACACACACACACACACACACACACACACACACACACACACACACACACACACACACACACACACACACAGCTTCTCTCAGGAGAAACGACGGGCAGAGAAAAGACAAAATGATGGAATAGATGACTGGAGGCGAGGGGAAGAGGATGGGGGTGATGGGAGATTGGAACAAAGAGGAAACTTTCCAATCAGTCGTTAACATGCTCTAAACTCTCCTCCCCTCTTCCTCCTTTACTCCACAGGTCTCCTCCCACTCCTCTTTTTAATCTTTCTCTCCGTCTCTATCACCTCCCAGAGAGTGTGTTGACGAGGTTATTGTTAGCGCTGCAGTCTCCAGAGTCTCTGTAGTAATACTAGTCGACTGATGCCGTCAGCCGCACAGAGCTCAACCAACGAACATTAAACATTTCACATCCCACCACGGGGGACAACAGTTAACAACTTAATACGCTGCTTAATACGAGAGCAGAAAGCCAAATCAACAAGGCTTTTATTTCAGTTCTGCCCGGAAATAGTTCCACTGTGAATTTTTTAAGAGGTATTTTTGTACTATTATGAACAAATGAGATGGTGAGACGGAGTTTGTTTGCATACATATAAAGTGAGTATGTTCACCAGAGGAGGTTTATACTTTAATTCAACTGCACATTTTGGGCTTGGAGAGCTGTTTTGAAGCAAATGAAATTAAAATAGCAAACACTAAGGCAAACTAAATGGACTCAAGACATGTTGCAATGTGTAATACACAATCACATGAACCATTTATTTGCAAAACAACAACAAAACTGTTACAAGAAAGAAAAACCCAAGGCAACTCATACGTTTTGTAGTTGTTTTATTTGAAAATAAATAAGTCAGCTTGGATATTTCAACAAATTTGATGTATAAGAGTTGGACAAAAAGTCGTACCCAACCAGGTCCATTTCAAAGCTTTTCGGGGGCTCTTGATCATATCATATGATCTTCACAGCAGAGTTGTTCTCGTGTGGTTTGCTTCATCAGTTCTCATGAACTCTTCGTACTTGTATCTAAGGAAAGCAGTGCACTATAATTTGCATACACTCCACACATCGTGTGCCAGGAGCACAGGTGACATAGTTTAAGAGCGACAAAGTAGAGTGGAGGTTGGGTCCCATACCAGAAGTCAAACGTAACCAAAGAGTTGTTTTTGGTTCTTCAGTGCAATAACAAACATTAGATGAGGATAAACTGGTATTATATTGCTCTTTTAAGGTTTCAATTTGTTATAGTAAGTTGTGAATGCCAATATGTCGTAGAATAAAGCAAGTTAACCACAGGACCAAGCGTCGTGTTTTTCAGAAAGTCAGGTAAAATAAATGCTGTATAAGAGATGGCATTGAGTTTCAGAAACCAATGAAACAGAAGATATGATGTCATCATGTATTTTGTATATACTGTATGCATTTACAATCATAATAATCAGAATGGTAAAACATTTACCGTGGAAATCATTTTAGGAGTATTGAGGAACCACAGAGGAACTTGTTTTTCAGAGAGAGGAAGACAAAAGCAACTTTCTATCTCTTTAATATTTTGCGTAGTGAAAGGAACGTTGTTGTTGGCAGAATATATTAGCTGTAGCAAGCTAGCTACCACTAGCTTCCAGCTACGGCTTCATGCTGATTTATAGTTACAAAGCTTCAATGTAATACCACAAATTACATTCATAACTGGGAAGACTCCATCTGCTGCAGAGGATCCTGTGTTACGCATAAAAACCCCAGAGCACTAAATGGGCCTTGTGGGAAGCTTGTCAAAAATGAACTTATAACATTAACTGATGACAGCTTGAAAAACATTTTCTTTGACATTTATCCAGTGTGAACTTAAAGCAAGTAAATAACAGTATGAAAGGTGTGAGGCGTGATGAATAAACTCTGCTGCTGTCAGATTTTTCTGTATCAGAATAACATATTCATCTGTGTTTACCTTGAAGACAGGCAGTTATAAAAGAGCCCATTACACTCACTTAGTGTTATTGTTATTCGCTGCTGTATTCTGGAGGCCATTTTGCATTTCTCCTCACAAGCATTTGTTTTAATTTGAATCAGGGAGGCTAAGAAATGGCACACGTGGAGGTTAGAGATTTTGAACCTTAGCCCAGGGGATTTAGTTACTTCCCACACATTTTCATATCTTCCTTTTTAGCCACCATTCAAATCCTGGCAAGTGGTGGTAATTGTAGCATTGGGCTGAAAGACACAGACTGCAGGCAGCTTAAATAAATCTTTGAAAGCTCCCGCAACAAGCTGAAAGTGATAGAAACAGCCGGGCTATAAATTGCACTGCCTTGCCCCAAAACGGAAACAATCTAAACCTGTGTAGAGACATTAGGGAGGTAATAATGTTTGTCGGATGCTGAGAAATAAGAGAGCACAGTCGAGATCATATCCCTGGAAGCGTCTTTTAACTGTAGCTGCTGCAGCTTTAATCATCAGGCTACATATTGTGCTGTGTAGCCTGTGTACTCTGTGTCCAGCTATACAGAATAAAACATTATAGACTGCAGATCTCTAAAGAACAAGAGCACAGAGCATAAATATTGTTTATTGATGTAAAATAGCTGCACTCACTCGGACAGTGTCTTAATAATATTTGAAAGCTATTATCTTTATGGCTGTGTGTGTCTGGATTGAGTTGAATTGTGTTCCTGGATGTACACTGTAATGAGGGAAGCTGAGGGCTTAATGCCAAATACAGACACACACACACACACACACACACACACACACAGTGTAACACTCAGGGGCATTGACAAAAACACACAAAGTTACTTATGTTATACACACACATGTACAACATAAGATCTTCTAGACCTACACGGGAGCTTCTCTCCTGACCTCTTTCTTTCTTTCTCTCTCACACACAAACACACACAAACTTAGCACATCTCAGCACTCTGTCCCCAGCACAGAGTGTATAATAAGCGCTATGTTGTGGCATCATCACAATAGGAAGCTAATAGGAGAGTAATGGACTGATGCATTAGCTGCCTACTCCTGATATCGCCTCTGCACAATGTCACACTCTGTTACACTGTTTCCCCTGATGTTGATGAATTCACGGTTATTGCATATGTTTGTTATAAAGGTCATTGTGTGTGTGTGTGTGTGTGTGTGTGTGTGTGTGTGTGTGTGTGTGTGTGTGTGTGTGTGTGTGTGTGTGTGTGTGTGTGTGTGGTGTGTGTGTGTGTGTGTGTGTGTAGTGTGTGTGTGTGTGTGTGTGTCAGCTGGACAGAGTCATCTTCTGTGTGTTCTGCCTACACACACACACTACACTACACACACTACACACACTACACTACACACACACACACACACACACACACACACACACACACACACACACACACACACACACACACACACACACACACACACACACACACACACACACACACACACTAGCCTATCTACAGTGATGACAGCTCAGCTCAATTTAGCTACACACACAGTGGTGTGACAAACGCTCCATCCATTGTGTGCTATTTGCACATCAGTACATTAACACGTGCAAAACACTCATTAGATCCATAATAGTGTATATATAGCACACTTAATTGTGTCTAAATACATCAAATAAACATGTACATGCTCCCACCCCCCACACACACATAAACACAGTGACATGATAAAACCTCTAAATACACAAAATGTAGAAGCAAGCTGCTTGAGCCTAATTGTTTGCATATTGACTTCAATGCATAAAAGCACACACACTTGAGCCTAATTATAAATGCAATTATGACATGTGATGTTTATGGGATATACTCGCATAGCCTTTTTCATAGCTGACAACCTGAGAAACATTGTTGTTATTTGAACCGATAATTAATTTAATCAATGAAATCTATTTGAACACAAATTTACATTTGTTCTAGTGAGCAAAGACAGTGTGTTAAATGCCAGATATGATGCAGGGCTACAAAAATAACATGAAAGTGTTGTGTTTGGAAATAGCTTTAGTAGGCGGCAAAGCTTAACAAACAAGATTCATATTTTATTTATTATTTTAGATTTATTGCATTACTAAAAATGAGGCATTCTTACTTTCCATTTCTGACTTATTTATCATAACAGCCTTTCCTGAGATGAATATATAGTACTACTGTAAGTGCAATCCACATGACAAGCCTGAGGATCATAACCAGAACTTCAAACATATTCATCATTTTAAAACTATCTGTGGTCCAAACATTTAGCGGGTGACACGATAAAGAGGTAAAATAGGTTCAATAAATATGCCTTTTTCCTCTCATTCTGAGAATAAGTTGAGAAGATGATGAGTACTGAGCTGGAGTCAGGAGATGGTTGGCTCTATTTTCTTTTGTGTCCCTTTTTAGATGGGTTTGTTTATTGATAGTTCGTAGATAGCTATCTATCTATACCTAACTGCTAATGTGCATGAGTTATTCTTCTCCCTAAGAATTTAAACTGTTACCAAAAAAAAGTGGGTGGATTACCAATCCCACTGATTTGCATATAGCCTATCCCTGGATAACTAGATTTAATCAAATATGTGATCTGGCTAACAAAACATGTACATACAGTGTATGAGAAACGTGAAGTGATGGTAGTGACGACAAGACTCAGGGAAATGGTTTGCAGTCACTAGGTGTGTTTCCATTTACCTTTGTTTAAGCCTGTGTTTGAAAAGTAGTAGATGGAAACATCCACTCAGAGCCCTCTAAAAGATTCTAGAGGGCTCTTTGCATGGGTGAAATGTGCCATCAGAAACATGTAAAATTCAAGTCTCTTTGTTTTGAGATCACCCTTCAACCATGCAATGACCCCTTTACAAGATGAAATAACACACCTGAATTTTTTGAAAATTCAGTTATGTCGCTACATTTAGAAACCTACTTTGCCCAGATATTCTAATATCACTCTCAGGAATTAAGCGAATAAGTACTGTATGCGTGAGTGTGTTTTTTTTTCCTTTTTTCATTTTTGAAATTCAAGGACTTTTATACTTTTCTTAGACACTCATCTGTGTTTTGCTATAATTTGCTCCTTTAGCCTGACCAATCACAGCAGCTTATTGTTCAGGTAACCAGCATGGTGTGTTTCAAAAATAAATAACTACCTTAAGTCTGTTTGAACCCCTATGTGAAATATAAGTGCTGTGTGCAGACCGGAAACCCTGACATTTCTTCGAACTAGCACACTTAACAAATATTTACACTTCAGTTGAATATAAATGTTTTTTTCCACTGCTGACCCCAAGCTGACTAGTACAACCAACGCTTGCAGAGGAAGAACATATTAAAATCAATTTCCTGTCCAACCATGTTGTAGGTCTCCAAGGTTCCTCTTTCAATTTCAACATTCTCTCACATGCTTTTCAAAACGAACCGAGAGAAAGTTGTGTGCCTTCATTGCAGATTAATCTCTGTGGTTAAATGAAGTTGAATAAATATGTGATATTCATGTTGGCTCAAGCTGTGACATGGTGACTCCACCCATTTGTTTTGATTACCCCCGTGATTGATAGTGTTATAATGCCAAGCAGTCCGAGCCCCTAAACATGATCAGTCATTCACTCAATTATTCAAATTAAGCATTGGTATTACAACTGCAGCCTTAACCTCTAATGTCCTGCTGTACCGCTGCTATAAATCAAACTCACCTCCCGCCTCAAAACATTTTGAGAGAGAGGTCTCCCCCATCTCGTACTTTCTGCTTTTATAAAACTGTTTTTTTCTTTTTAGCACACAGCTGCTATCAAACCTTTCCTCAAAACCAACAACACAATCAGAAAGCGTCTGCAAAAGTTCACCTTCGCGTTTTGCACAGCTGCTCGCTTAAAATCTTACATTTGAATGAAATATTCAGGGTCACTGAGTCTCATGTTGTCAACACACAGTAAGAAGGTGGTGCAAACATCTGTGGACCTGAATTAGTGCCTTTACATCCTGCCTCTGTTTGTGATGTTCACCTTACAAAGCAATCAGTCTTTATTAATTACATATTGATCAATTTTTCAGATTTGTTTGATAAAAATAGTAGCTCACAACTAACTGAAATAAGAAAAATGTAACCCCAAAGAAACATTAACCACAACAAAACCCACTTTCAACAATATATTGCAGCTTGAACTCAACAGAAAGACATTGCATTGAAATAGGTTTGACATTGAAATTAAAGCAGAGAGTTGAATTTTGAATGAAAGGAGGATTCTCATGGTCTCAGTGGAAGTAGAGTGAAAACAACAGAGTACTGCCTCTGGGCTCTCAATGCATCTCTCTGTATATAATTGATATGCATGCTGCTATCAAGGCTTTATACTGTATATACCGCTTGCCGGATGCATGACATTTATCATAATTGTCGTACTTTTACAATCCCGTATTTTGAAGATGTGTTGCCAAAAAAATCTGCAGAAAAAAAAGCACACTTAATTATATAACACAAGAAGTGAACATAACATAAATGTGACATACAAGCAGTGAAAGCAGACTGAAAGAGAACAGAGGAGCTTCCTATTAAAAATAAGAGAGGAATCCAATCAACTCTGCTGCCGTATCTCCAGCATAAGCTTTAAAGTCACACATTGGGTTAAGGGTCTTAATATTTGTGTATCTTTTTGCAGACTGATCCGACCAGTAGTGCCGATACAGGGAAGAGTTTCTCTCCCGTTTCTATGTCGGCCTCAATGAAGATCAATGGCTAAAAATAATGGGATCACGCTGCGATGCCCTTTAACTCTACTTTATACAACAGTCTAAATATGAAAGAGTTTACTTAGAAGTGTTTTGTGGATAAAATGTTGCATTGACCATGTTAAAGCATCAACTTCACACTAGCCTGAAATATAACTAAGAGCCTGAAGGATAATATTCTAGATGTTCTTAATGTCAATAAGTGCTATAAATATGTCAATCCAACAATGACTTGATAATATTAATAATAACATTATATATTCAAAGTCGGACTTTATATTTGTTTTTCCTCTCATTGCTTAATTTGGAAATTATTATATATGTGAATGCCCTAAATAAATCATTTTCGAGTTCCTAATTATAGCTGTTAGGTGTCTAAATAAATGACTTTACATTATGCAAATATAAACCTATCTGCTTTCATCTACACAACATCCACAACGCTCCCAAACCAGGTGGGGGTGGCAGGAAGCAGCAAATAGCCACGCCACGCCCTCTTAGGACACAAGGATTGATAAGTAAACCATTTCAAACCATTCCCAGAGCTAATAATGGGTCTTCTTCGTGTTAGAGCATTTTGATATTAGACTTGTATTTGTCAGTAACTTGACGTTATGCCTCGACTTGCAAAGTCATGCAAATGTTGTGTTTGCCAACATGTTTGCTTAAATGTTTGCGAAGACATACAGTAATACACTAGTGTTGTGTTCACAGCTTGTTCTTTTGCCCCTTGCTAACTAAAAATAAATTAAAGCTGCTTAAAGATGTGTAATATTAGCTTTGATTTAGTGTTCAGATTATAAAGTTATTTTATACTATCAATAAATACTGAACCATGCATGCAACCATCTGGCCTTAGAGACAGAAGGCCGGTTTTAAGTCTTCTTTTATGGGATAAACTTTAGCTTCCACTCAACAAGCTCCAGTCTCAAACTGTGACAACTTTTCACCTGAAGCATGAAATCAGCACTTTCACATCTTCACACAGGCTGGTTTACTGAGGAGGTCATTTTCCAAGACATGCAGGAGTGTCCCTTTTTAAAAAGAAAAAAGTCAGCACTGTTGGTGTGTCTTTTTCCCTAATGGATGTACAGCAGATTTTGAAGCAGCAGTGAGCGAGCAGCGGTGCTTGGCTGGTAGATGAAGCGTAACTGTCAGCGTGTGAAAGAGCGGCTGCAGGCAGGCCTCCAAGTCTACACTATAAACCTTATGTGTCTCCAACACCTGGTCCCGCCCACACTGGCTGTCGGTTTGGCTTGTGTGTGTGTGACTTTGCATGTTGTTTATTGTGTCTCGAGCCATGTTGGACTCATAGTGACTAATCCGCGCTAACGGATCCCTCTGAAGCCACCAGACGATCCGGCCAAAATGCAATTAACCGCTGCATGACCAAGGCAAAGTGCTCTCTCCCCTCGTTTCACAAGTTCATCTTTTTTCTCTCTTTTCTCCCACAGAGGACACAGTCAAGAGTAAACTCTAAAAGAGTCAATTTGGTTGCTGTGGATACTCGCCGCTCAACATCCAGATTCATCCTCCTCGAGGTCATCGCAGATCAAGAACTTTTTGGATGATTGCTTTTTTAAAGTGCACGCTGGCTCTTC